AGATTGAAAGACGGATGAATGTTGCCTGAGAATGAAGTCTTCTAATTAACAGAACGGTCAGTCTAGAAGCAGACATTAATCAATCATAAAAGACCACTGACCCTTTCTTAGAATCTTTCATATTATCCGTCAAGTTGGATACGTCAATTGTGAACGCCCTATGAAAAAACACCGACTAAGGCTAAGAAGGCTGATATTTGAATGGAAGTCATTGGTACAAGTTTGGTTTGTTTTGTTTTACAGAATATCAACCTCAAATCGTTATTTAATGCTGACAAGATTTTATTTCAGGTAATTATTTTTTGAAAATGTATTGCTGGTAATTATTTTTCAAAAATGTTTTGTTGGTAATATTTTTTTTTCAAAAATATATTGTTGGTAGTATTTTTTTTTTTTCAAATGTGTATTGCTGGTAATACTTGTTTTTAAACATGTATTGCTGGTAATAGTTTATTTTTTCAAAAATCTATTGCTGGTAATAAAACCTATTTTTATACTTTCATAGTGTTTTGACACCTCTTGTGGGGTTAACTATTTGCAAATAGCTAGAACCCTACGATGTTCTACCACGCAAGGTCAGGGTGGACTTAGGAACACCAGCAATTAAGGGGTCGTTCCACACTCCTCAAAACCTTCTGATCAAAGACCTTGCTGTCGGATGTATTTTATCGTCTTACCCAGAACGCGGATGTAGTTTATCGTCATACCTAGGGCGGTCACTGATACAAATACTAAACACTGTGGAAGATGGTTACGACTCGTTGTTTGCTTTCGTGTCATTTCTTCTTTCCTTTCTGACTGACTACAATTGGGGTTCGTCCCTCCTCTACAGCGGTGATGCCTACACGTACAAAAAATAAACTTTTCTATAAATATGCATATACATGGCCTCCAGGTCATGTTTTAAGACGTCAGTATATTGGCTAAGCAAGCATCCAGAGGAGTCAACATGCCTGTAATATGGGACACCCATATTGAACACATGCTGTCGCAAGTAGTTCAAGGTGAAGGTATTGAGACAGTGCTCTTGGCATAATTATGTTGTCCAGATGACTCTTTTTTTTTTTGGGTTTTTTTTTATAATTGAGCCATTCTTTTTGCCCCTCGCTTCAATGTTGGAAACGCGCATATGTACATCAATTGATCTCTCTTCCTGACTCCCCAGGGGAGAACGTAATGATTGACTAAGAGCATTAGCTTCCAGCAGAGGACCACCTCAGCATGGTTGATGGCAGTACAAATAGCATCCATCAGAAAATAAGTTACCTTTGCTTGAAAAGTATGGTGTTATCTTTACCATATATAACTTAATATGAATGGTAATATTAGCCGTTTCCTTATAAGGAAACATTTGGCATTTGTTGGCTGGGTAGCCAGAACTATGTTCCGTTGAAAATGAAAAAATATTTCTCTTAAAAGAATCTTTCATGAAATTGGGATTTTTTTCTTCTCCAGTAGCTGTTATCGTTTTTTCCATTATTGGCAGGGCGTTTCCTTCCTAAACTTTTATTTCAATTAGTGTGGTATGTCAACATCATGATTATGTTATTATTTTCTCTTCGTGTTACATTTAATATCCACTTTAGCTGTTGCTGCTGTTGAAAGTCCTGCCAAGATGTTCGAAGACATTCACTCGCTCAGAGCTATTTGAATCCCTGATCATAGAAAGCGAATGTATTCAGCGTAAAACGTATTTAGTTCTGAACGGGTTTGGCGTTATGATGACATACATAAGCAAGTCTTGATCCGACAAGTATATTAAAGAACATGAATTCTTTTTCAATTTAATATTTTGGTTCTGTAGAAATTTGTAGTGTTGGGTAAAACTCGCTCTAGAACATCTCATTATATCTTCATATTCTTTTTCTTCTATACTAAATTTATTATAACTAATCCATAAAAATCTGAACATTGGCCATGGAAATATCGATAGACTTGTAACGTTGCGCCTGAGTGAAAAAGATTGCAAATTGGAGAATAAGTCTTCCCTCACCGTGATAATCAGGAGTGAGCAGTTCCAGTTCAGATATAGCATCAGTAATTCCTAATTGGTTTAAGCTGACACTTGTAAAGACCAATGGCTCTTAAGTATGAGTTGCACCTCTAGTCTGGAGGGAACTTTGGTAAAAGAAATACGTAAAAATACGGACATTCGTAGGTGCTGTGATACACCATCCAACTGCTCTTTACCTCTTATAATGAACTTTTATATTCGTAATTATAAACAAAACTTATTCCATTGGCCGGACTATCTAAAGTTTTCTACTCTGAGCAATTATTAAAAATTATAGATGCCAGACACTCCATTTTCAATTCCTCCAAGAAGACAAATTACTGAAATCAAGTAGAGGCAATTTTAATTTCTACTAGCAGCTATACCCAGCTGGTCGATCAGAAAAAGCTTTCAATTAGAATGCAGAAAAATAGCACCATATTTAGATGTAACACAGTTTATCTTCAATTACTTTAAAGTGCTGTCATTAAAAACATTTTGAATTAATGCAGTTACTGATACAACGGAAGTAGTCTGTATTTATTCAATCGAAGTTAGCCGAGAGCATGAAGGGGTTAAACAGGCAACATGAAGACCCACTTCAGACTACAATTATTTTCGACTTTTTGAAATTCAGTGTGTCAGTGTGCTATTAGGGATGTAAAAGAGGATACATTTATAAAGCAACTGTTAAGTTTGATGAAAATTGATTGAAAGATCAATGAAAAATAAGAAAGAAACCAGTAAAAATCTCCATTTTTCGCTATTTACGCGGGTTTTCACTAGATGGGTGGACTCAGTTCTCAAGTTAAATGAACGTTAAACAATCAACTTATTGTTGGCTACAATTTAGTGAAGGTTGTATTAGATTGCTTAAAAATTGACGGAGTTTTTAGTTTAAAATTGTGTTGAAATCGACATGTATTTAACTCGATTTTTCGTTTTTCGCGTGGAAATAAAAATGGGGTATCGTTGAGCTCGTCACAATGTCAGTAACCTACATGTCGAGTTTGAACGAAACCAGAGGAAAAAAGTTGAATTCATCAATTTTTTGATCGGATTTATCGATTATTGATTTTTTTTAAATAATTTATTTTTTTACGCTAAGAACCTATCTCTTACATGGTACAAATGTATTTGCAAAGTTTGGCCAAAATCAGTTAGATGGATCTCGAGTGAAAAGGTATCAGACATTCTCTTATTATATATATATATATATATATATATATATATATATATATATATATATATATATATATATATATATATATATACATACAAATATACAAAATATGCAAAATATATAAATATATATACGTACATGCATACACATACATATATATTTTGTATAAAAAAATTCCAAGAGGATAGAATCCAGGTAGAACTCAATGTCCAGGACAGAGTAAGGATATAATAAAAGGTTTAAACACTAATATTCCATGGTCATAATTTATTCCATTGAATCGTAAATACGATCCAATTCATCAGTTGGATCGTATTTACGATTCCAATGGAATAAATTATGACCATGGAATATTTGTGTTTGAGCCTTTTTATCATATATATATTGGTAAAGAATTCTCTTCTTGTACGCATACAATGTAAATAATGTCAAGACATTAATGTTTTAAGCAAATAATTTATTTGAAATGAAATATGCTATTCTACTTACAGTTTGAATTGTGCGTTTTATTGTCTCTTATGAAACGTTAAAACAGATGAACAATTTCTAAACAAAAATATGAACCCAAGAAAAACAAATAAAAAATGATGATTTATTTAATGTCTTATTTCTTTAATATCCTCAATTTCGCTTTTTTCCAAATGCAGTTAATATTTATTCGTAGATTTTTCTGAAAATACTGCTTTTAATGTCTTTGATTCACCTAATAAGAAATATCCATTCAGTTTGATTAAATACTATGTAATCCTTTTTTTTTCAAATCGTTCTGTTTTATTAATTACATGTAATTTTCTTATTAGACGCTGTTATTTCAAATAGTTTTATTCGATTCTAGTTTGTTAGAGAAATCTGTTAAAGTAAAAAATATTGGACGTATTTAATCAGTAATGGAGATCATTATAAAGATTGATTAATGTATAAAGGGAAAGGATAGAAAGAAAAATGGAACGAAAAAGGTGGCAAAATAAACAAAAGAAAAATGGAACGAAAAATCAGGTAATTCAGGGAGAGGGTGGCAAAAATAAACAAAATTAAAAAAGAGAATTTAGGAAGAAAGAAAAAAAAAAAGAAAAAAAAGAAAGAAAAGAACATCAACAAACGGATGGAATTGGAAAAAAGAAATAGGAGACAATTTTTTAAGGAAGACTTTGAAATAGGACAAATAGTAAAAGAAAAAAGAGAAACAAAAAAGAAATCAGGAAGGAAAGATCAATCAATGTGGAAAAGAAAGTTTAAAAGTAACAAAAAGAAAAAAGAAAGAAACAAACAAACAAACAAGAATTTTAAATTAAATAGAGACGAAAAATAATGTAACAAAAAAAAAAAGAAAACGAAAAATTACGGAAAAAAAAAGAAAAAAGAAAAAGTAATATTACTGAAAAAAAAGAAATAGAAAGATCAACAAAGAAAGAAAGATATAAAAGGGGTTGGAAAAAAAAGAAAGAAAGAAAGAAAGAAAGAAAGAAAGAAAGAAAGAAAGAAAGAAAGAAACTAACAAACGTAAGATGGAATTAGAGAAAAACTTATATGAGAAAGGCGTAGACATTCGAAAAAAAGGCAGTAAAGAAAGAAAGAAAGAAAGAAAGAAAGAAAGAAAGAAAGAAAGAAAGAAAGAAACTCAAACGTGATAAAAAAAAAAACTTATATGAGAAAAAGCGTGACATTCGAAAAAAGGCAAAAGAAAGAAAAAGAAAGAAGAAAAAAAAAGAAAGAAAGAAAGAAAGAAAGATCAATCAATGGAAAAAAAAAACTAAACGAAAATTCGAAAAAAGGCAGTTTAAAGAAAGAAAAAAAAAAAGAAAAAAGAAAGAAACAAACAAACAATTAGAGAAAATTAATTAAAAAAGAAAAAAAAGAGAAAGAAAGAAAATAGAAAGAAACAAAAAAAAAGAAAGAAAGAAAGAAAAAAGAACTAACAAACGAATATTCAATTACGGAAAGAAAGAAAGAAAGAGAAAAAAGAAAAAAGAAAAGAAAAGAGAAAGAAACTAACAAACGTATGGAATTAGAGAAAACTGAAAAAAGGCGTAGAATAAAAAAAGAAAAGAAAGAAAGAAAAAAAAAGAAAGAAAGAAATCTAAGAAAAAAGGTTGGATGGAAAGAAAAAACTTTACAAAAAAAAAGAAAAGAAAGAAAGAAAGAAAGAAAGAAAGAAAGAAAGAAAGAAAGAAAGAAAGAGATAGAGAGAATGGATACATGGGACATCCGAAGAAGACGGTACAAATCTACTAATCGACTTAGTTGTGTAAATAAGTAATGGCCTTCTCTATCGACTGATTTTAAATGCGTAGTTTCGCCGCTAAAATCGATATTGGAAGCCAGTGGAAAGCAAAGTTTTCTTCCTCGTTCAGTGATGTCATTGGTTTTTGACATTTGTTTGTCGTTTCTTTCTATAATTTCCATTCGTTATTTTTTGGCTACTTTTGTTCAACGGCGATTTTATTGACATCGTTCTTTGTTTTGTTGTTAAATTTACTGAAACGAACAAAAATAAAACCTTTGACAGGTGAGTGGCATTACAGATGACTTCGTGAATATTTGTTGACTTAGAAACTTCCTTTTGATGACCTTTATTTATATTTACCTTCTATTCTGTATTTCATACATTTGTAGATTGCCACACACACGCATGCACACACACGCAAACACACACACACACACATAGATATATATATATATATATATATATATATATATATATATATATATATATATATATATATATATATATATATATGTAATTATGTATATATATATTTTATGCGTATATATATAATTATATGCATATTTATATATATATGTAATTATGTGTATACATATATTTATGCATATATATATATTCTTATATGTATATATATATATAATTATATTTATATATATATATAATTATATGTATATATATATAATTATATACATATATATATAATTATATGTATATATAAATAATTATATGAACATATAAATAAGTATATGTATATATAAATAATTATATGAATATATAAATAAGTATATGTATATAAAAAGTATATGTATATATAAATAAGTATATGTATATAATTATATCTATTTATATAATATACATATATATAATTATATGTATATATATATAATTATATGTATATATATATATATATATATATATATATATATATATATATAGATAGATAGATAGATAGATAGATAGATAGATAGAGAGAGAGGGAGAGAGAAAGAAAGAGAGAGAGAGAGAAAGAGAGAGATACCTGTAAAGAAAAGTGATACTTAAGGTTTGAAATAAACTTCTAAAAATTTTGAGACTTTTATTTTACTTTTAATTTCAAGCTAATAGATTACATTTAATATTTCCAATAAGGAAAATACGTTGCTTTATTACAAAACGAATCTGACTTGATTAGAATTGATTTTTTAATTACTGAATATAACTGATTTCAGCCATTTTTATCCATATTTTACAAATCTATCAGTACCACGTAATTATCTTTATTAAAACATCTTTCAAAAATAAAATATACTTTTCTGAAACTTTATTTGAAGAAAATTAGATGATTTAAATGATTTAAAGTTTAATTAATTTCATAAAAATAGATACTTTTAATTAAAATATCACAGATAAGCATTTTTAATACAGAGTTGGGAGTTTTTATAAGTGGAATTTTTTCTAAGGAGGACAATTATTGTGACAATTACTTGACGGATATAAGGGGAACGCCTTTCTTTGTAGTTTTAAACTACCAGGTAATATGTAAAATTTAGGAAAATATATATATATATAGTAATATAATATTTTATGAAATTTTAGGTATTTTGGCTTTATAATCTTGCTTACGGAGACACTTGTCGAGCAAATGTTAAAAATTACCAATATATTTTAAATTTGCTGTAGTTACTGCTCGTATTTTCTGATAATATTATACGTACTTCTGTATTTATAAAAATCGGCACGTTTATACGCATACAAAAAAATCAAAATTAAATTGTAGTAATCTTTTCTATTCATGATTATTAAATATAGTTTTTAGTTAATAACAATATCACCTAACCGCTACAGATTAATACAGAATTTTAAAATATTTAAAACAGTACTCGTAAAAATTATTTATTCATCGAATTTTTTCTTAAGTCAATAGTGTCCATAATGTATCTTATTCATATAAGCAATTAAAATCTGTTTTAATTAAATAATGTATTATTTTTATTTCATTGTTTATTTTACGATTAAGAGCACAGTTTTCTTGCCTTACAGAAACAATTGATGATTTAAATTCTCGAGGGACATGTGCTTGTATCTAATATAAGCATTAAGAGGTACCAAAAGGACTTTCCCGAAATTTCATAAAATTGAATAAGGGAGGGAGTAATAGATATAAAAAGAAATTACCAAAATTTTCTAAAAGAAAATATTTCTAAAATAATTTCATTCATTTGTGAATAAAACCTGAAAGATTCATTAAAATCCGAGAATTATTTGATTTTTGCATGAATTTTCAAAATTAATGTGTTTTTAACGGAAAAAAGAACTAAAATTTCCCATACCAATTGATGTCAATGACAGAAGAAAAACAAAATTTTTAACAAAAGATACTGAAGGTTCTAAAAAGAATTTAAAAATACATAATTTAATAATAAATCTTTTGGTCATTCTTCTTAATAATAACGTAAATATTTTCACGATAAGACATATGTTTGGGGTGTTTTTTTATAATGTATGCTAATTGTAATGAATCTTTAGACGTGTGTATATATATATTAGAGAGAGGATTAGTTTGTTGCACAATATCCAGAAATTTTCTAAATTGAGTTTAAAAGTTAATTATTTCTCTTTTTATCCTCTTTGAGAATTGTTTGCGAAATATATTTTTTATTTCATTGTCTTGAATTCGATTTGGTTTATTATTCATATTTAATCTGAGAAAAACACCAAAGAATGTCAGGCAATGAAGGACTCAAGTTTATCGTAACGATGAACGTTTTCAGGAAGCATTTCAGTAGTAATCTTGGACAAACAATTTCTTAGTATTTTTAATATTTATCACTTCAATAGAATTTCAATAACTACAGATCATGAAACAATGTTACTATGGTCACTCTAATGTTAATACAATGTTACTATGCCCACTATGACAATATTCTTATGAATCATCATCTTTTTAGCCCCTTGCGATAACAATTTTGTCAATATAGTTTTTACAATATAAATATATCGCATATGAAATGGTTTAAAGCATGGGGATTCCCTTTAATGATGACTTGTTAAGCTAACTTTATCTAGCAGCAAGGTCTCTGATCGGTAGATTGGAGATTTTGAGGTTGTTGCTCTTAACTTCTGCTATTGTTCTTAGGTCCACCGTGACCCGGAGTGGTAGCCCCTGTTAGGGTCGCAGCTATGAGCAAATAGTAACGAACCAAATAAAACAGATCACTATGAAAGTATAAAAATATATATTTATAGTAAAATTATCAACAAAACATATTTAAGGCAAAATGGCCAACAAAAGATTTTATCTGTAGTTAAATGTATGTAATTACGTTCAAAATATTTGGAATCGGTATTAAAGAGGTTGATATGCCGGAAAACAAGATAAACCAAACCAAACCAGCTTACTTCTGATTACACAAGATAAGATCGTTAAATTCAAGCAATTAGCATGTTGTATTTCAGTTTAATATAAAAACATTTTTAAGAGATTAACTAACAGATTCAGATAGATACATCGTTGTCCAGACAGAATCTGGATAGATAGATAGATAGATAGATAGATAGATAGATAGATAGATAGATAGATAGATAGATAGATTATATTCTAATTTCTGTTTTGTATGTTTTTATATTTCCTCAGCGTTTGCTTTTCCGCCATTTACAGGCATTGAATTCAGCTCATCTTGCTTGCTTTCTCTCGTAATGATCGCTTCCTTTTTCTCGATATCTCCGCCTAGGTTGCCCCTTAACGAATTCTTGCATTGGTAATTTCGCTTAATCTGTCCAAGCGAAAATATTGTTAACGCGTATCTTCAGCATTCGAAATGCTAGCGTCATTAAAATATTTACAACTCACTGTACATTGAGATAGGACATCTGGTGTCATAGATAGATAGATAGATAGATAGATAGATAGATATTCAATTTATTTATTGCTAAATATTTCCATGTGTGGAGGCAAACGCACTTTTAAATTCATATATATATATATATATATATATATATATATATATATATATATATATATAGAGAGAGAGAGAGAGAGAGAGAGGGGGGGGGCCTGGGGATTGTTTTTTTATGCATGAACAGACTGCCGGCAGCTACGTGTTGATCCCAATGTCCATTTACATATATATATATATATATATATATATATATATATATATATATATATATATATGAAACGAAACGTATTTTCTTAACCAACGCGTTTCGATCCTTGAGTAACTTCATGAAGATCAATTTTTGTTTCATAACTTGTATTTATGAACATGAGTATTGTTTAGAAAAATATCTTCAATTTTTGAATTTCAGAACGTTCTAAAATATTCCTAAATTTTGCTGTGGAAAGAAAGATAAACTATGAAGGTTGCTAAATGATTATTAATTGCCTAATAAACCAAAGGTGATTAGATATTCTTTTTGTTGTATTTGTATGTATTTATTTTTTTAAGTAATTATTAATTTTTATGAATTTTATTTTCTTTTATTTTGTATCTTTTAATTTATTTAATAGATATAGATTTATTATCATATTTTATTTTCTAATGGAGCTTAAATAAAAGCGAAACATGTTAAATTTATAAATGCTTCTACCTGTTCTTTACCCTATGATTGTATCCGAATTTTAACCATAAATTGTTCCCTATTTTTTTTTACCTTCTTTCATATAGAAGTATACATAAACAGAAGGGAATGATGCAAAAAATGATTGTAATGCCAAAACGGTTAACTGGTTATTTATTTTGTTATAGCGTAATTCTAACATTGAGCCAATTAATCACCCGGGGTTATTTAAAGAGTTACTTCCCTTTTGCGTTAACTATTTTACAGCAGTTAAACATAGATTGTGTGCAATAGCGATTGGTCTTAATTTAAATATAATAGTGTATCTCAAAGAGGAATTTCGCCAACATAATGTTCTTTTTTCAGACTTAATCCTCTTCTGTAGGATTTTATTTTCCATTTAATCTTCCAAAAAATACGCGTCATTGAGTTTTTATTTTTCATTATCTTTAGCTTTCGTCGATCATTTTAATACAAACTGAATTCTGTTCATATAAATTGCTTCCATTCCATAACAATCTCTCCCATTCTGTTGACGTCATCCGCCCCCGATTTTATTTTTTTAACTTTCCCTATATGTTGCCCTTAACCAACTTTTGCACGAGCAATTTCTCTGGCTCCATTCAACCGAAAATATTTTCTTTTTTTTTTAACATTAGCCATTTTCCTGGGTTTCGTCTCGCCGGACATTCCTTCACTCTCGTGAAACCATTTTAGCGGAAGAATAAAGAACTTCATATTCCATCATTTTTCCTTTCTTTCGTCTAAAACTATGGAGGATGCTAAGTGATGTAATTTAATGCCTAATAAACGAAAGTGAGTAAAGGTTGAACAACTACAACTTCAACCTAAAGAATGCCACACTTATTAAAAGAGAAAATAACTTACTTAGACGGACAGTTCTTGAGAATGCCTCTATCGAATCTTGCCAAAATCTTAACCTGCACTCCGGATTTTTTTATTTCCCTTGAAAAATCCATCAGAGGACGAAACGCGTCAGTGAAGGAAAGTTTACAATTTTCCATGACTATATATATATATATATATATATATATATATATATATATATATATATATATATATATATATTTTTGTTCTGCATTCAACACCATCACTTGATAAGACACCAGAATATATATTATACTCGATTCTCCCGTTGAGTTCGACGTATGAGGGTCAAACAGATCAGTTCCCAGGAAACTGACAGCTCGACAACAGCACATGAGATTTGATTATAGTGGTGAAGGTTTTGTGCAGAACCATCCACACTTTTTGAAGGCCCGAATACAGAGACCTAGTGCACTAAGTGCCACAAGGTCCCCAAACGACCCTCCCCGGTTTTTGAATTCAGAGTGGTCCTTCTCCTAGACCAGTTGTCATCCAAGGCTATAGAACCCAGTCTGTCCTATAATATATATATATATATATATATATATGTGTGTGTGTATGTGTGTGTGTGTGTGTGTGTGTATACTCGATTTATATCTATTTTTGTCTTTGTTATTTATATGCCTATGTGTTCCTGAATTATCCCCTCGTCAATTTCGTTCATTTCTTTTTAGAGACAAAAACAGTCAAAATGAAGGATAGAATAATGCCTTTACATTTCGCATTTATGCCCATTCAAGTTTCTGATCATTTTCATGCACCTATGCACTTCAGTATTTTGATATTCGCAGCTGTAATTCTGCTTGTCCAGCTGTAAACCTTATCAAAACAATAACAGCGGGGGAGGGGGGGGGGACGACCGGAAGAAAAATATTATTATCGAACAGGGAAAAGGAATCCTATACGGAAATGTGCGTTCGTTTTAGCAGAAAAAGAGTTATACATGGTGGACTTTTATCGTTCATTTTCCTGACCAGAGATTCTGGACATATGTTCGTGAAATGGAAAAGGACGCCGGGTACAAACCTATTAGTTACGTACAGTTGGATAAACAATATAGAAACGGACAAACTATTTACTAGACACTCTTCTTCTTCATTCTCATCTTTTTCTTCTTCTTCATTCTTCTTATATTTATTTAATTATTTTCATCACTGCTTGAAATCTCCACATGGTTACACTAATGTGTGTGTGTGTATATATATATGTATATATATATATATATATATATATTATATATGTGCATATATATATATATATATATGTGTGTATATGTGTACATGTGTGTGCGTGTGTGTGTATATATATATATGATAAAAATATATTTTAAGGTATGCGATATTCATAGATAAAAATTCTCAATATCAGAGATAGAGCGTATGTGCATATAAAAGTGAACATTGACGTCATCATCGAGCGGCGATAGTCTGTTTCATGCTTCAAACATTGCGTTCAAAAATGAAGCACACACACACACATATATATATATATATATATATATATATATATATAAATAAAATATTTAAATAAATATTTAAATAAAATTCTCACTTAAAATTTTGAAAAACTTAGCGTTGCGTCTTTGCACGTTCCGAGATCTTACACAACCGTCAATAATAGCAGATATTCAAAAAAACACCTTTCGGTCGACATACAAGTATATCGCCTTCAAGTTTTTGATTTTATAAGGAAAAAACACATGCCTGATGATGAATAGAGGGCTATTCGTAAGTACTAGCATTTTAACATCAAATAAACTGAAAACTACAGGCATCAAGTTTATCGACGATGATCACTTCGCACTATGGATTAACAGTATTTTAATGCATATATTTTGTTTCTAGCGATGGATGTCGCCAATAATCGCATTAACACTTCTGATTGATTCTATGTGTGATTATTTCTTTGTATATATATATATATATATATATATGTGTGTGTGTGTGTGTGTGTGTGTGTGTGTGTGTGTGTGTGTGTGTGTGTGTAATATAATATAGTTTTAAGGAATGCCATATTTATGGATTAAAGTGCTCGCTATCAAATATAGAAGGATGTAAATATAAAAATGGAGATTGAAGTCACGGCTGTTGACTTCAGCGTTCATATATATATATATATATATATATATATATATATATATAATGAACATTGAAGTCAACACTCAGAGGCGACAGGCTTTTTCATGCTAAAACAGCCTGTTGCCTCTGAGTGTTGATTCAATGTTCATTCTTATATTTATATTTACGTACGCTCTATCTCTGATATTGAGCACTTTATCTCATTAATATAGCACACTTTAATACTATATTTATATATATATATATATATATATTAAGTGATATATATATATATAAGTGACATATATATATATATATATATATTAAGTGATATATATATATAAGTGACATATATATATATATATATATGACATATATATATATATATATATATATATATATATATATATATATATATATATATATATTAAGTGATATATATATATATTAAGTGACATATATATATATATATATATATATATATTAAGTGATATATATATATATATGTGTGTGTGTGTGTGTGTGTGTGTGTGTGTGTGTTTAAGCAGCAATACTTCTTGCACATTTCATTGAAAACAATAGACATGTTGCTTATATTTAATTTTTTTTATACAATTTCTCATGTGATCTAATTTGTTTTTCTTTTCGGATCATAAATTATATAAAAACTGTCCGAATGTTCTTTTTATCCGAGCGCTTTCGGCTATACATTTAACTATTTTCAAGGATTATATTTTAATTGTTAAAATAAAAAATAATTTGTTGTATGTATGTTTTATAAAATGTTTTCATTTTCCAAAACACGGTCAAGATATTATGTCAGAAAACGTTCCCGTCTCCGAAAAATAACGCAAGCTAATTACGAAATCCAACATATAAATAACGAAATCTAAAAACATATTGCAGTACTAAAAAACACCTTAACCGAAACTGATTATAATGAAGCACAATACCACATCAACATAAGTATTAATAATGATAAACTTGGCCATCGACAAATAATTACAAAAAAGCTGTGCAACTTATACGAAGGAAATATCCTACTTCCCAACAATACATGATAAATACATAAACCTATCAACTCACATATTAACGGATGATCAAAAGGAATTTCTAAATCTAGGACCAAATTGCCATCTCCAACCTAAATTCGACCTTCTCACAAAGAAGACTGAAATTAAAATCTTACATCAATTATTATGTCAAATGGAAAAGGACAAATTAATTATACTCCATCCAAATCTCAAAGACCTTCTCAAGGTAGAAAGTCTACAAGATTATATTCCACGTAATAGAAACAAGAACATTCCAACAAAACTCAAAATTGCTGCTACGGAATTAAAAAAACAACCCTAATATAGTCATCAGAAAAGCTGATAAATCCAATATTTACGTAATTTTGGATAAAATGGATTATCACAAAAAACTTCAGCATCTCATTGATGATCGTTCGAAATTTACTAAATTGAATAAGAATGCCACTGAATCTCAAAAGAAATATGTTAATAAACTCATAACACCCAACAATGCTGTTGTAGGATCCCTAAAAATAAACAAAATTATTGGAGATTACCAACCTGGCTACTTATACGGTAATGTTAATATACACAAACCGGGATACCCATTGTGACATTTTGTTTATCAGATTCCAACATGCATATACCAACTATCAAAATTTCTCACTGATATTATTACCCCATATCTCCCTACTAACTATAGCATTTAATCTATCCATGAATTCCTCCAAATACTTAAAAGCACAAAATTAAAAACAAACCAAGGCATTCTTGTATCACTTGATGTAGAGAATTTATTTACTAACGTTCCCGTTTCCGAAACTATTGATATTATCATTAATTCGGTTTATAAAAATAATTTAATTCCACCTCCATCAATCCAACGTAACGTAACAGAATGAGACTTTTTTAAGAAAACTATTGCTCGCTTGCACCACTTGAGTTCCTTTTTATAGCCAGAATGGTACTGTTTACACACAAACTGATGGAGTAAGTATGGAAAACTTTATCGGGCCATGATTCTCCAAGTATATGTCCTATGTTGAAACAAAACTTTTACTAAAGTTATTAAACCTAAAATATATGTTCGTTAGATGATATATTTATTTTAGCTGAAAACAAGAAAGAAATAGAAAATCTGAAAGCTACATTTTAACAAAATTCCGTCCTAAATTTTACTTATGAACTTAGTGAAAAAAATAAACTTCCTTTCTTAGATGTTCTCGTCGATTTTAGTAATAATACTTTTAAAACTTCTGTTTATAAAAAAAAAACAACTAGTAAAGACTCTTGCCATCTTAATTTATCTGGTGAACGCCCTCTTAGATATATGTTATGGTCCGGTTCATGGTACCACGGTGATAGTCCAAGGTAGAACCAATAAAGAAGAACTCGAACACGGATATGGAATAACACAGATATATTACAAACAGGAATATACACATAGAGGTAGAAAAGTGTTAGTACGAACAATCAGGTTTAGTAGTAATTGTCTGAACACGACTCTGTTTCGGATTGCATCTGACTCGACTGACTGACTCGCTCTGACTGACTGACAGACTCCTGACGGACTTCACTCCAGACTTCAGACACCTCCCCCCCACGAGGGCATCATGTGGCACAAGGCCGGTTTAACGTGGGATCTCCGAGCCCGTGGGATCTCCGAGCCCGTGGGATCTCCGAGCCCGTGGGCTCGGCCAAAAATATGCCCTTTGAACCCGTATAAACGGGTTCAGGGTCGGTTTACCTCCCCGAAAGAGACTCCACCCTTCGGCGTAGCCTCGTTCGGGTTCCTCCCCGCCTGAAGGCAGAGAGTTCAACCGATCAGCCGGTTAGCCGGTCGCCCGACTTCAGACTGAACTCCCTGCTTCCTCTTGAGGCGCAGTATTTATTACGTATGGAATAGTCCATTATGTTATTATGGGTAAGGTCCCATAACAATATAAAATAAGTGTTAGTAAAAATTTCCTCACGAGAACTCATCCTCTCGCACGCTTTTCTTTAAAGAATTAAACAATGTAAAGCAAACGCTGATTAATAACGGATTTCCTAATCAATTGTTGGATTTCCACATTAGGCATTTTCTGTCTAAGGTAGCTAATAGCAATGGCGAGAATAGAAACATAAACAATAATATTAATATTTTTTTATTAAAAATCAGATGAACAAAAATTATAAACAGGATGAATGCAGAATTAAGAACATTATAAAAGAAATGCATAACACCAGTTGACAATAGTAAAAAAAATTAGATTAATTATTTATTACAAAAAATTAATACCTCTAATCTTATAGTTAAAAATAATAATTCACTTCCTAGAACACAATTAAATAGGAAAATATTATTTCCGAATTTAAATGCGCATTAAGGAATTGTATTCTTGATCAATCAAAATTCGTAAATAATTATATAGGCCACACTACAACATGTTTGACACGAAGCCTCACTCTACACCTTTCTGAGCATAGCTCAATTAGATCTCATTTAAATATTCATGGTGACCTACTGGACACTATTCGTAGCATACTTGTTGACAACACTAATATAATACCATCATCTACATGCAAGAAAGGCTAAAAATAATGAAAGACTTATTAATAAAAACAAACAAAACAACACTTAATAATGATAAGTTTGAACATAGACATATCTTGACCGTGTTTTGAAAAATGAAAACATTTTATAAAACATACCTACTACAAACTATTTCTTATTTTAATAGTTAAAATATAATTCTTGAAAATGGCTAAATGTATAACCGAAAGCGCTCGGATAAAAAGAATATTCAGATAGTTTTTATATAATTTATCATCCGAAAAGAAAAAGTTATTAGATCGCATGAGAAATTGTATAAAAAAACCTAAATAAAAG